TCCATTTAACACCCTCTAGCTCCTCAAATAGTACATCTAGGCTTCCCTCACTAGATAAGGTTTTAGTGTTAAACGTTGCCAAGTTCAGGTTCCAAAGGCGGCCTGTAGTCCAGAGATTCTTGCACCCTCTGCTGCATTGCAGATCTGACCGCCGCCATAGTCAGTTGCTTCGCAGCTGCTGGGAACTGAGGGCCGTGAGTTATTTGACATATGCATGTGGGAGGTAGTGGCCAGGCGCTAGGATAACAATCTCTTGGCAAATTTGATAGAGCAGGCTAATGTCCACGAGCACGAGGGGAAGCCGGGCAGTACTAGGTACACCGGAATGTCTATGTAGAATAGTTGCTGTAGCCTAGAGTGACAAACCAGCAGGCCCATACTTGCGATGATCAGTGCAAGCGGTATGTCAGCTTTCCGAAACTCATCAGTGTTACATAGAACTAGCACTCCGAGGTCCCAGGTCAGAGTTAAGACACAACAAAATAAATCTACCACCAAAGGTGTGTCCGGGACGTCTGTAACAAGGCTTCATAGGTTGGTGACGAAGAAATACGTCAAGATTACGATGCGCACCATCTTCCAGTAGAGTGGCTCTGGTGGCACATTATGATGAGCAAAGTCTTCGTGCCTGCACGCCGTTGGGTTTCATGAGAGACATCAGCACAACATCTTGCGTATTGATGTTACAGTGTACTTGGTTACGTTCAAAACCGCCGTTTCGATAAGAGCAAATGCAATAACAGCCATTTCTTTACATTTATATAGATGCACGTGAAAGTGGCCCTGGACCCAAATTTTACCCATGTAGTTATTTATACGTTCCAATACGTTTCTTGTATCGTCCAAAAATAAAAGGGGAAAAATAATAACATTTTCTAATGTTATTTTTTTAAATTTTATTTCTTGGACGGCACCACGTTTTCCGCACGCCGGCTGCGTCTGCTGCTTGCTCTTGCAGCGGCGAGCACAGCATCGGACGTGGAAAAGCTGCTCATAGAAATTTCTTTCTATATAGGAAGAGCAACATCGTGACATACGTGCTGAAAATAAGTTATATCTATTTCATTCATTTGCATCTTTGTCTATTAGCCGAGTTTTCTAATGATTGTCTGCAAAGTCCCCCAGATATCCTGATTTGCCATGTGGTACTCGCCGTGTTGGCCCCATGAACCTCGATCCTACACCTAAAAAAACTTCCTGACCCTTGCTTTGACAAACTGCGACTCAAGAAACGTATTTGCATTAAACACTTCGGAAGCGAAACGCTAGTCATGCGAGCACAACATTTTCTTCGATAATATAGGAGAACGCATCAGGGAAACAAAAATGAACAGCAAACCACGTCAGAATCGTACGCAATGGGTATAAAACATATTCGAAATAAACAGTCATCGCGGCTTATTTATATCATATCAAAAGATTTAGTTGTTATTCGTTTTATTGAGCTGCCTACACGCAATATTTTATCCCCCAATTGGAAATACACAAGCGCTCACATATAATCGCATAACGAATCAGTATTACGATATTTGGGTAGGTGGTGTTTAACAGTTTTATGCGATTGATAATAGTCACAGGTGCAAATAAATTTACGAACATATGTTTTACAGAATTTCTCTCATTACCCACAACTGAATATTCAAAAAATTTCTGGTCTTGACTAGAAATCCAGAAATACCAACTATAAGAACACGTTTTTCGATCAGGAGAATATTTTTATATGTATAAGTGAACATTTAGAAAAAAGTTAAGACAATACTTTTTCGGTAAATAATATATTTCGTTCAAGAGCTACATCTTCCTATTATTAATTTTCTTTTCATTCATTGTTTTGTTGGTGTGTACCTATAGCTATAGATCTATATTTATAAAAGGTGTTCAAAATTAACCTTTATAAATTTTTAAATTTTTTGCCCTGAAAAGAACATAAAAACAAGCTTTGATGATAACTTGTATATTTAGGGAGTGCAAAATGAGACAATAAATATAACTACCGCCGCCAAACTAACTAGTATAGTAATTAACGTTTTTGGTACTGCAGCAAGCGGGCATGTTTGTTTTCAAAACTTGGAGGCAGTCGTACTTACACACTGTTCTGCTCGGAAGAACTTCTATAGCTTCTTGGTGCTCCAAAATATACTGCTGGAAAGATTGATTGATGTTTAAATGATCAAGCAGGCAAGAAAGCACTGCCGCAAAGTTCCATTTCGATGTGTCGCGCCAGTTGCGTGCGTCGTTTATTTTGACAATGAGTTGAAGGCATAGGCGTAGATGATAACTGTTGGCCTTGTACTACTGGTTGGCGAAAGGAAGATATGAAGGCGTAGATGATAACTGTTGGCCTTGTACTACTGGTTGGAGAAAGGAAGATATGACTGGTCGTCACGTCGGGGAGTAGCATGGCGCCGGACCTTACCGCCTTTCATGCGTAATCCTCAGAATGACAATCGAACTTTGCAGCAGGATGTCTCGGACCACAATTATGATGGAATTATTTCAACTGTAACGGTATGTAAGCGTGACTGTGTCCAACTTATCAAAACAAAGATGCTTGCTGGCTGAAATCAATAGCAACTTAACTATCAAATATAACTTACTTGAATGGATGACAGCGGTGAGTATAGTCTCACTTTGCGTTCCCCTGTATATGTAAGCTATCTGCAAAAGCGCCTTTTAAATTCTTATAAGAGTTGAATTTTAGGAAAACTATGAATCCTAACTTTCAACTCCAGCATATAAAAAAGGCATACTTTATCAATACATGTTTATTTGTTGTCTGCACTTATTCAGCTTGTTTATATTTATTATGCTGTGCTGAACTAGTACATAGGTAATTGTGCCATTTAGGTACAGGCCCACATACGTACGTATACCAGTGTTTGTTTGTAAGCTTTTTCGTTTTGCAGTTGTCCGCCGTTTTCTGGTGCACTTGTGGTGTCAGAAGCCTAGTCAGGCATGTATAAACACACCTGTTGCTCGAACACGGAGGCAATTGATTTCTAAGTTATTGTGAAAGCTGTATATAACCCTAAAACTTCCAATATACATGCATCTATCGAGATAGACACCAAGGCCGTGAATCGCCTTGCATCTGTTTCATAAAAATGGGACTCACGCATCTTGTATTATTAAATACATTGTAATGCAAACCTATTTTGCAAGTGTAACAGCGACATCCCTGCGAAAGAACGATTTTTTGAACACAGAGTTCTGATTGCTACTGAACATCAACAATGTGGCCTGAGATTAACTTGTGAAGTGGAACATAATTTGAAGTTACTGCTTGGAAGATTTTTGTAACTATGCGAAACACGTATGTTGCCGTCTCACGCCCAGTTTTGTTGCAACTACACTGGCAAGTTCCTTTCTTTGAGCTGCCAGGCGCGAGCCAAAGCTATTCATCCGCGATGCAGTTAGAAAGCGCGGTTTGTCCAGGTATATAACAGAAATGGGCGTGCAACTTCTCGAACACCATTTGGCTTCTCACGATGCATATGTCCCACCATGGCAGTGGAAGCTCATTGATTGCGATATGCAAAATGCAGACGTCACTAAGCGTGCACCCATTGCACACACTCAAGCAGATTTCCTCTAACTTCAGCATAAATATTCATACCTTGAATACTTTACTAATGCTTCAAAGACTCACACTTCTGTTTTCCACGTAGCGGTTGGCCTGTTTTTTCAGATGCTGATACTCTTCATCCTAACACGAGTATCTTCACAGCAGAAGCTCGTGCGATACTTGCGGCCGTGAAACACATTGAACAAGCAAGTATACAAAGTGCAGCAATAAACACCGATATCCTAAGCTTAGAAAAACCTCAAAACTTTGAAAATACACAGAAAACCCGTCCTTGGTTTGCCCAAGTCGCACTTATGCACAATAAACTCACTCAAACAGCATGTCATTGTCTGCTGGCTTCGAGGACACCGCGAAATACAAGGACATGTTTTGGCGAACCTGCTAGCTGCATCCGCCAACGGGAGCACCAGTAAATACATCAATCGATATCTCTGCGCTTGACCTAAAACGTTTTCTTGAAAAAAATCTCAGACCATATTGGCAGAGCACAAGCACACACAAACACACACACACACACACACACACACACACACACGCACGCACGCACGCACACACACACACACACACGCACACGCACACGCACACACACACGCACACACGCAAACGCACACACATACACGCAAACACACACGCACACACTCAATAAACTACACGTTATCAATCAGAGCCTTTGTAACTGGCCGCCAGTAACAAAATAACGTCGCACGGAAGTCTCACTCACAGAGGTGAGAATCGCATACACTTACACTACACACTCATCCGGTGGGGAGCCACCCATGTGTGATAAATGTGGTGGACGAGTCACTGTTCTCCACAATCTCATCATCTAATGTTGTGTATTCAACCCCATAAAAAAGCATTTCCAATTATCAAAAATGAATAGCGCTTCATCCATCGAAGCTCATAAGCAGGATACCGCTTTTTAACGTTAAATCATTGTTTAAAAACAAATTACATAGCTTTCATGTCATATTTTGAGGCTATTCGTAGCATTATCTTCCGAATGAGGTTGTTTCTGCGGTTAATACTGTGCAGAAATCGCCTGCCTCCTTGCTTTTAGGTCTCAAAGTCCTTGACGAAGCATCCTTGTATTACCAACACTCATTTGCTCGTATCATGGTCCGTTGCAATTCATTACTCACCGAGCATCGCATATAACTGTAATGATTTCACAGTCTATAAACAGATTATACGCTTCTCTATAGCACGTTATTTTAAGCATCTATACAGCCACAGTACCATATTATTGTAAGCATCAGTCGTCGACATCACAACATAAGAGAAATGATGCTCTTTAGCCGCTCATAGCTCTTGAGCCTAAAAAACCATGCTCACCATCATCGTCATCATCATCATCAACATCAACAAGATGATACGTAAAAAAGGTAGGTAATGAATGAAAACAGACAACTTATTGGTCTTGAAAATTTTGTTTACACCTATTTAATATACTTCAGAATATGACAGATCGAGCTGTGTTACAAACACAAGTAGTTACATCACATAAAAATGGTTCGAGTACATAGAGAGTAGCAAATAACGTGTCTGTTCAGCAGAAAGAACAGCATTGAATAATTAAAGTGCCATTGCAGGGCATTCACAAGTAGGGCATCCGCATCACAAAAGCAAATGGGTAAAGCATTGTGCTCTTTGATTGAAAGTGGCTGCAAAATAAACCTCTGCCATTTTGTCTTGTCTGGCTTTCTTCCAGCACTTGGTGCTACACTACAATAGTTCCACCGCGAAACATTGAGGATACCATCGCCACCAGCTCTTCCCCCATCCCATCCCCGAAACAGAAGATCAAAGGTAAACAGCTTCACTCTAACATGAGCCGAAACATCATTAAAATCAAACTAATACACGCACTGCATTGGCCGTGTCACTCTATGAAGAATAGTCTCTGACTTATGTGAGACGAGCATGTGCTTTCTGTTCATACCATTTAACTAATTTGCCCGATATTTTATATTTTTGTCCAAGCAATAGAAAGGGAACTGTTCTATGGCAGCTAAGCTCAGCGCATGAAAAAAATGGTAGAGCAAAGGGATAGTTCTCAGACTTTAGCTCATGTGCGTCGGACTATGATTATGCTCCAAGAATTGCCAATTAAAAATGCATATTTACTCCAAAGCAGCATTGCGAAAGAATGCTACGCCCATGTTTTCACTGGAGCTAGCCCACGATTGCAAATCTAGTGAATCTATGCAGTCCTACTGCTTCAGCAGTCATTTAATCAAGCACTCGCACGTTTGCCTAAACTGGCCATTTATCTGAAGAGGAAATCATATGCCTGAGACAACTGCTTGGCTTCATTCGCTAATGGTTTCAGTGAGTATACAACGATTCAACGGTGCTACTTCCTCCTTTAGGGGCTTTAAGGGGCAACTGACACAAACACTTTCATAGTCGGTTTTACTTTTCTTTTGCTTCAAATTGAAGACCAAGCTTCAAGAACCGAGAAAACATACTTCCAAGTATGAGTTCACATTGACAACTAATTACCTTACTTTTTTTTTCAAAACTAAATTTGGTTTCTACTGTTCTCTGATGTCTCAACGTGGTATGAATTTCTCTAACTTCCGCAAGGCATCGTTATGTTCCCACGGTCCCTTCACTACACGGCTTTGTTAGCGACTTACAGTTGATCATTTTAAAATGTCTGGTAAGGCAGCAGTGGTCGTTTTGAAAGTTTCAGTACATGACGTCATCACAAGTAGCCAAAAACCAAAGTGCTGTGTGAAATCACATGACTCGGTTTGGTAGCCTGGCGTCAAGTTCTAGGAGATATCTGATGGTGCGCAGAGAAAATGCTGATCTTATTATCAAACAACACTATCTTTATCAACTTTCCTTCAGCTTGAAGCCTACTCAGTGTATGTGAAATATTTGTATGTTATTGTAAACGAACCTTAGAAATTTTGTGGCAAAACATCTTTTACATGGTATTTAGCACACATTTATTCTTCACTACCCAGCAATTATCTACGCAAAAAAGAGATATGCTGTTTTAAAATCTGAAGTTACCTGGTTCTTAACAAAACTTTTATATTTAGAGGGTGAAAACATTGCAGCAAAAGTTTTATACTTAAAGGGAGAAAACGATGGTCCATGAAGGGTGGCTGAAGTTAGAAATATGGCAAAAGCGCGACCGATAAGTGTGAACTCTGGATTTCATTGCTTCGAGTAGTTTCAGAACAATTTCAGAAAACGAAGAGCATAACCTGTGTTCGAATTTCGTTGTATGTATGAAAAAACTAAAACAATGGCAATTGCAGTACCTTAACCAGGTAGGTATAAGCAGACACATGCTTGGCGATCGGCTCACCATTTTGCTTTTTACTTTGCACATCATGTGCTAATGCTTACTTATGTTGCTCACTCTTCGACTATCGGTGAAAACACTCAGGGTTATAAACGTGCCAGTTTTATAAGACACGGAGAAGTTTGCTGTTTTGCGATTTAGTTAAAAAGTCGTGTTCGCAAATGTGGGAGGCTGATAATAGAAGTTAAAGTAATTATCGCTGGCACATTTTGCGTTCACATAGGCAGTGTAATTGTCAAATTTCTGGAACGTTAACAATACAATTGACACACAAAATGTGGTCTACAAGTCACAGTTCAACCCGTTTTAGGCTGGCAAGCTCTCAACATATTTTTTCGGGTTAAAGTACAACTTCTTCGTCCAACCTTGTGTGTCTAGACTCGGTGTCTGCTTCTCGCCGTCGCCAGCGCTGTTTGTCATAACTTCAGCATGCACAAGTTTCATGAGTGTTTCCAAGTGCTCGGTGCAGGCATATTTACTGAAGATTTCGTACACGGCCGAGAGAAACCACGAACCAGTCACTCTGCTTCTGAGCGAAACGTAACCGGGGACGGACGCGTAGGCGATATATATGTCCGACAAGGGTGACGAGTGAGGCTCTTCAGGGGTTACCGGCCTGGGATCTGAAGCTTTGTCACAGGTGGTGTTGGGCCCCGTGTCACGCTTGTCTGCATAAAATCAAAATCTTTAGCAGTCAATACACTTTGCTTCAATATAGAAGAAGAGAGAAATGAATACAGGAGAAGTGACAATACTCCGAAGTGTTCACAATGTGCTGCCATAAAGAAGTAATTATTTTTTTAGATGTCGTGGAGTCTCAGTGTTCATTGAAGTTGTTTAATCTGTGCTATGGAACTGAACGTGGTGTCTAAAAATCTACTAGTTGTCAACAACTATTGAAATATTATTGTGGAATAAAATTACTGGGAGCATAAAATGACAACGGTGTATTGAATAATGTAGCCTGACCCCGAAGCATTATACAAAGCATACAGATGGCTGCACAAGCGATTCTTTTGTCAAGCTCGTCTATTTTAGGAAAGTAGTAAAATCTTTGCTACAGCCGCCATTCCCTGCGATAGACGGATTGGCGACACGTGACTTATTCATCTTCACATCCCTCAAAGGGTGCAGAGGCTGCAGCGCCTTGGTGGTCCGGGGTGCGGATGTGTATGTTTTGAGGCGTGGGTTTACACCGTTTTGAAGCAAGCAGACAGTACTTAAAGCGTCTCTGTCGCGTCGCTATGATTTTGTGTGACGCAGTGATTTTGTGCTTTTATAAATGTTTGGTGTGCCACGTGGCAGTATTTCAGGGTCTTGTTTTTTCTGTTTCCTCTCTGCACAGAGAACGAAAAATGTCTTTTTTTGCTCTTTGTTGCGTCATCGCGGTGAAAAAAAATACTTGCTGAAGGAAGGTGTGGCCCCACAAAACTAGGCACAATGCTGCTTGCAGGTTTATGAACAACACTTTATGAAAACAAAACACACACACACACACACACACACACCACACAAAACGAAACAATGTAAACACAGATAAAACACGCAGTTAGCGTCCTGAACATCACACACAAGCCATGTGCTCTAATTTTTCGCAGGCTCAACCACTTCACTGTTACTCAAGTTGAAAGATGCGTAATGCTGAGTCATTACGCCATAGAAAACACACACCTATGAAAAGGGGATAGTTTCGTAATGTTTGAAAGTTAAAGAAGCATTCCCCTTGGTCGGCGGGTTTTTGTTTGAGCATATGTGTATGAACGCTATCATTGTCCCAGCATTAGTTTATGTTGTAGATTTGACGGTGGCGTGCCATATCTTTCCCAATTATTAGCTTGGCACGCCAGTACAGCTTTGCGTGTTTATTTCACCGCGGTGGCTTCAACATTCAAAGCTCGCAAGAAAAACACTGTTTGAGATTGAAGGCAATAGGTGTACGTTAAGGTGCTCATTCTCTTTTTGACAGACGTGACACTGATCAGAACAACAAACGATGTCAAATAAAGTAGAGGGAATATAATTGAATGTAATTCTAATATTGTCACACACCAAGAGCCATAGAGACAAGACAGGAATAGTGGGGCAGAAAGACACGAGCGTGTATCTTAAAAAGAAGCGCTAACACACACTTCTACTTTGTTCTCTCTGCCCTTTTCGACTGGCTAGGGCTTGTCACCTCACAACTCTAGGTGACATTATTCCCTTTCCATTGGAGCAGCTGCTCGATGCTCATACACAAAAGGACACCAAAGCTTATGAGAAAAAAACGGTAGAAACGATACTTATAATGCAGAGGGCATATGCAGGTGCAAAAAATAAAATGTTGTTTGTGGTTGGTGCTAAGAAAAAAGCATTAACACAGTTCACACTTCATTGAAGACCCAACGGACAACGTCAAAAAAAAAGAAAATATTTTCTGATCGGGAACAATAAGGCGAGTATCACCATGTAGAATAAGGTTTTATGCCGACGACATGCACAATCTCTGTTCTTGGTGAGTGGCGCTGGGTCGTTCCCAAGCCTCCGTCTGGAATGACTTCACAGTTGACCTCGTTCAAACTTTGTAATACTTTGTAGGGTTCAAAGTACTTGCTGAGGTTTTTCTCGCTGAGACCTTGCCGTCTTACAGGAATCCAAACCTCCACTTGGTCGCCAGGTTTATGGGTGACTTGTCGATGTTGGATATTGTACCTTCGAACGTCTTCGCACTGCTGCAATCTTATGTGCAAGTGAGGTAGTTGACGTGCTTCCTCTGCATGCTGAATGAAATCCTCGACATCAGGAGTTAACAGCTCGTGCTGGTCAATGTCACAAGGAATCATAGCATCTAGAATGGTTTTCACGTCCCGACCGTAAACGAGGCGGACGGGTGCGAACCTTGGTGTTTCCGTAAACGAGGCGGAAGGGTGCGATCCTGGCTGGCTCGTCATTTATTGTGATGGTTAAAGACGTTCGTAACTATGTTTGTTGATAGCGGACGAGAAAGGATTAACATGAACTTTTTATTTCATGGCATGGGTGGAACGGCTGACGGCACACGGATGCGCTACCATGTGCAGCGCCGTTGAATCGGACGTCACGACCAACCCAGCAGCCTGGGTCGCAACTCCCGAGGTCCAAGATCAGGCCACGGCTCACGAGGACCACACCCGGTAGGCCTCGCCCACGAACCTGCTCGCGGCCCCTGCACCCAGGCAGGAGCCATTCGGCAGGCTGGGTCCTTGGACCTTGTACAGGCCGACGGACTCGACCTGGCCGACACGTACGGGTCTCACGTGCGGCTCAGGAACGCTTCCAGGAACTCGTCCTCTCGAGCGGCGCACCGCTTCCTCTGCCTTCGTGGCCTCAACCCTCGAGCTCTCTTTTCCGCACGTTCCTCCTTCTTGGCCAGGGCACCGCCAGGTACCCTCGGGTGCACACTGCAGCTCATGAGCTCGCGGCCCACGTCCGAGTCTGGCGCGTCGCTCGGTACGGCTCGGCACCGCTCGGCGATCCTCGATTCAGCCAGAACTCCCTTGGCACCTGGATACTCGGCCACCCTGAACCTCGCCCGGCTCCGTTCTCCTCTGTGCGCACTCCCGCGTCTCGCCCGGCAGAACATCTCGCTCGTCCCTTGCCGAACTGCGACGCTCTGGTGACACCGGTGCTTGATGGCATGGGTGCGGCCACGGAGCAGTCAACCCACATCGGAGACGCGATGCTCCATGCGGGGAATGGCCAGCCCGTCCAGCGAACAGCTTGCGTCGAGACGCGATGCTCGGCGCAACCGTGACCATTAGCCAGGCCACGTTCATCGCTGTGCCGAACGGCTGACCGTGGAGACGCCTCGCCGAGATCCGCGATGCCCTCGGCAAGGAAGAGAACAGCAGGCCAGGCCGCGCCCCGAGATGCAGTACTCGTGCCGGCAATGCCGCCCCAGCTGGTGGTTGGACGGCAGCGACGTGGACGGCCGCGGCGTGGACGGCCGCGTTCCCTGGCCGGAACTTGGATCGCCTGCGTCCGACACTTCGGCCCACTGTCTCCCGTCTGCCGCTGCTTCGGCTCGTCCTCAGCCACAAAGCCCACTGCCACGTGATGGTCGCCCGTGGCCCAATCGTGGCACGCGACTTCTAGGGGCCACCACAGGTCATCAGCTGATTCGCTGACACTCATGCGCACATTACACGCGCCTTGCACCGCACTTTCGTCGTTGTTGTTTCCGTCCGTCGTTGTCGACGGCAGGATACTGTCCAACGTTTTATGCTGCACATTCATGTACATTGAAATCATGTCCACCAGCGTTTTGTTTTGCCTTTCTGTCAGGCCATTAGTCTAAGCGGTGGTATGCAGTTGTCTTACCGTGGTTCTTGTAACTGAGCTTGAAGATGTCGTCCAACAGTTTTGCCGTAAACACTGTCCCTCGGTCAATAATGAGTGATGATGAATGATGGGGTGCCGTGACGAAGCAGAATGTGGTGCATGAAAAACTGGGCGACGTCAGATGCTGTACCGCGTGGCAGTGGCTTCGTCTCAGCGTAATGCGTCAAGCGATTAGTTGCGACGATGGTCCACTTGTTTCTGGAGTGAGACAAAGAAAACGGTCCAAGGAGCTCCATCCCAACCTGGTCAAACGGCCTACGCGGGGGGTTCATGGGTTGTAGGAGGCCTGCAGGCTTTACAGGTGGTGACTTGCGACGCTGATATTCGCGGCACCCTTTCATGAAGCGTTTGACACAAGCTGCGAGGTTAGGCCTGAAATATAGCTGTCGTACCCGGTCGAGCATCCGTGAGTATCCCAGATGGCCGGATGTCGGCTCATCGTGCCAGGCTAATAGAATGCCATCACGAACATCTTTAAGAACGACTGGAAGATTAAATCTGCTGCCGACACCGGTGTTTTTCTTGTATAATATGCCGTGTCGTAAGCAAAATGACGGCAACATACGGGAAAGTGGACGACGAATATACGCGGTGCTGCCTTCTAAGTGATCGATGATGGGCCTTAGCCCGGGGCCCGCTCATTGCTTACTGAAAAGGTCCGCCCCACTGAGAGTCCCCAGGAAGGCACTGTCATCTTCTACAACGGTATGGTTGTATTCCTGAGGTGCTCATGGTAGCCTATTGGCATCTTCATGCTTTCTATCCGACTTGTATACGATGGTGACATCGAACTCCTGAGGTCACATACTCCATCGAGCCAGAGGGGTATCGGAGGTAAGCCAACCAACAAAAAGTGTGGTGATTAGTCACAACTTTAAATGGGCACCCATAAAGATAAGGCCTGAACTTCGTCGTCGCCCATATTACCGTTAGACATTCCTTCTCTGACGTTGAATAGTAGGTCTGGGCACGTGATAAAGTGCGGCTTGCGTAGGCAATCACACGTTCAATCCCATCCTGCGTTTGCACCAAGATAGCTCCGAGACCAATGTTGCTTGCGTCAGTGCGCAGCTCTGTGTCAGCGTCCTCATCACAATGATCAAGTACTGGAGGGGAAGTCAATCAATGTTGCAGTTCCTCAAAGGCAGTCGCTTGTTCGTCAGTCCACAGAAATAAGTGTCGTCACGCGTAAGTCTTATGAATGGCTCCGCAATCTTAGAGGTTTTCGATAAAGAGGCGATAGTATGTGCAGAACCCCAGAAATTGTTGAAGACTTTTCTTGTCGTTCGAAGTTCGAAAAGCGGCCACA